AGTAGGGAGGCAATCAATGTCTCTCTCATATCATATTTCTTTCTGTCTCTTTCCCTCCCTTCCACCCCCTCTAAAAAAATCAATGGAAAAATATCCTCAGGTGAGGATTAACTAAAAAAATAAGTAAATAAAAAAAAGTAAATAAAATTATTTAAAAAACCAAAAAATCCAATGCTAATACCAACCATTAACATTATTAGCAAGGTATCTATCCCTGATGGTCTAACAGCTAACAACTTACGGTCAAACTAGGTATGAAATTCACTTATTCCTGTTGTCCACATCTCCTCCTGCTTGGTGACTAGCTTTTAAAGGTGAGACTGTCCAGGGAGCCACTTCCAACCAGACACAATTTTAATATACTATTCTCAAATCATTGTCTGTGTATATTCAGTACAATGCAGCAAGCCGACCAGTCATTTATTTCTCATTCAGTTACCCACATCAAAAAACCTTGGGAGTCCTTGATTCCTCTCCCTCACACTGCATCCATCTATCAGCAAATTTCATTAGTTCCATCTTCAAAATATATCTAGAACATGACCACTTCCCATCACCTCCGTTTTTTCTAATCTAGTCAAAGCCACCATCATGTCTCATCTGGATTATGACAGCAGCATGTGAATAGGTCTTTCCATTGCTGCTGTTGTCCTCCAACAGTCTATCCTCCATGTAATGGCCACATTGATCCTTTTTGTAGGTCTTACAAACTTCCACGTGATCTGGCTCCTTTCTTTCTTTGTGACCTTGTCTCTTACTATTGCTCTTCCCTATTCCACATCAGTCTAGGCACATTGGCTTCTTTGTTGAACACACTAAGCATACTTCTGCCTCTGGGCCTTCGCACTTACTATTTCATCTGCCTAGAAAGTTCTCACCTCAGCTAGCCCTCCTCTTGTTTAGGTCTCTACTTAATTATCATCTTACTAGAGGCCCAGTGCACCAGTGGGGTCCCTCGGCCTGGCCTGTGGGATCTCCAATATCCAACAAGGGGTCCCGGATTGCGAAAGGCCTCAGGCCAGGCATGATCAGGGCAGAGGAGTGACACAGGAAGTTGGCCAGCTGGGGAGGGACCATGGGAGGGCTCCAGGGCATGTCCGGCCTGTCTCGCTCAGTCCCGATTGGCCGGACCCAGCAGCAAGCTAACCTACCAATTGGAGCATCTGCCCCCTGGTGGTCAGTGCACATCATAGCAAGTGGTTGAGCATCCTTAGCATATCATTAGCATATTACACTTTGATTGGCTGAACAGCCGATCAGACACTTAGTATATTAGGCTTTTATCATATAGGATATGTGATGCCTTCCCTAGTCACTCTAAAAAGCCACCACTACCTCCCAGTTGTTTGTTCCTCTGTCCCCCTTCTACCTTGCTTTATTTTTCTCTGTATTACTACTATATCTCAGAGCCAGGAACAGTACCTGACACACAGTAGGTATTCAGTAAATATTTGTTGAATGGATGTGGATATAAAAACAAACGGAAAAGCTGATTTTTAAAAAATGCTCCTGAGTCACTTTTTAATCTCACTCTAACCTGGTGTCTGCTGTACAACTCCCTCTACCTGGGGCACCTTAGTGCTAATTTTCAGGGTTCATCTTCCTCCACCAATGCAAATTGATACACACATACTACACTCAGTTACACCCATTCACTTTGGCCCAGGCAGGAAATCCAGTTTCCCCTACTCCCACATCATTCCCCATCCTCACTCTGTTCCAAATCCAACTGCCCTGGGATTGCTCCAGGTGCATGACCTTGCACCTAAAAAGGCCCCTTTCTGGCCAAGCTCTACTCTCACAAGGACTTCCTGACTTTGTTTCTATCAGATAGAGAAGTGAATATAGGAACTACTTTATTTTTCTTCCATCTTTATCCTCCTGGTGTTAACCCTCACCCCTGGCAGGGTCCACTTCCCTCCTACATCTTACCATCTACAAGACACTCCAGTGACAGAGGAATTTCTGTTCCTCAGTTCACTGGACAGAAATGAAAGGAAGGAAGGAAGGAAGGAAGGAAGGGAGGGAGGAAGGAAGGGAGGGAGGGAG